CTCTTGGGCTACTCATTACCAACAAAAACTTGGATTGACTGTCACATTCTAACACCCCCATGGCTAAAAAAGGCGAGCATGTTTGTTGGGACAGGGATTCGAACCCGTGATTCGCAGATTGCGAGTCGAGCGCCCTAACCACCAGGTCATGCCAGGCCCAAGATCATAAGAAGCTAGACTTAACCACTATTGGTCTCACAAATTCTGTTGAAACGTTTTTTGTAAACCCAGGCTGTAAGAGACGTTACTGATGACATAAATTAAATCGTTATTGTTACGTGGACTAGAATGGACATTATTTTACAGCATCGGTATTAGAAGTAGGAATATTTTGGTGAAAATAAAATGAGATTTAGATTAAAGTTCAAGATGACAACCTACTCACGAAGTAATATCAAAACTTTTCTAGAAATAATGAAACAATTAAAAGAATGTCAAGAGGAAAAAAAAAAAGAGGCAGAAAATTAAAAGAACAAAAAGGAAGAGACAGAAAATTTAAAGAATATTAAGAACAAATTTACATAAAATTAAAAGAAGACCAAGAAGAAATTTATAAAAAATTCAAAGATCAAGAGGCAAGAGACGGAAATTTTAAAAAGGAGTTAAAAGAAAGAGGCATAACATTTAAATAAAAATTAACAAAAATAGATATGATTGAGGACAGGATCAACCGAGTAATTAAAGATGTATGGAGTGAACACGACAACTAGTACAAAGAGGCATAAAAAAGACATCTACAATGTGTAACAAGATTATAATAGCAAGATTAATGATGTAGAAAATAACATCAATGACAGAATAAAACATTTGGAAAAATAGTTAATTAATGTAAAAATGTGCCAAGAATTCCAACCTAAAACACCATCTTAACTAGTAAGCATGGAATAGAATTTGTTTGGTCTACAATTGCTATCACTACTATTGTGCCACCTGTAAATGCGGGACCTTCCTGGACTATTCCAGCTATGTCACTATTATTTACAGGTCCAGGTTTTGCTGGTCACTTTAATAACATTGCCCCCATAGGGAAACCAATGGACTATGATGGAAAGGCATATAAGACTCAAAATAATTCAAAATAATTTATAGAGTGAATCGGAGGAATGGTGAGCTATTCATCTACACCAAAGCAAAGTTCTGAAGCAGGTCATGAAGGACAGAACAGACCTTAGCCAAACTTAAGGGAGCCTTAGAAAGGCATGCTCAATCACCTTACCCACATACTCTATGTGAAATGAAAGATTTATTCTCATATTATCAATTTACAGATGCCATAACAGATGAGCATAAGAAAAGTAGGCAAAGTAGGTGTACACTTTTAAAGGAAGCTCTCCAGTTAATGATGGAACCTGAATCCATTGAAATTTCTATAGTGTTAATGCTCATAAGACTGTATTCCATCAAAGTGACATTGATATATCTGTACAATTCCGGCCGCAATAAAGGACGAACCCCAAAGGTGTTATGATCATAAGGTATGGCTTACGGAACCCGAAAGCCATCATGATAATCTTTTGAAGTATGTTGGTGAAAAAAGGGTGAGCCGAGTAACTTCAGTTTATAGTACTGTTTTATTTGTGTATTAGGATTGTACAAGAGACTTGACTACAAGGGTAGTGTTGTAAGTCTTATTTTTTAATATTTTGATTCAGGTGCTTGTTTGCTAGATGGCATATGATGTTATGATCTTCAAAATTATTGTAGTAAGTATAAGGTGAGTAGGATGTAAATACAAGTAAAGCGAAGCAGTGAATCAATGAGCAGTTAATGGGTTAATCAATAAGTGATGCAGTTCAGATTTAGAATGAGAGTTTGTTTGTTTGTTTGTTTTGGAATTTCGCGCAAAGCTACACGAGGGCTATCTGCGCTAGCCGTCCCTAATTTAGCAGTGTAAGACTAGAGGGAAGGCAGCTAGTCAGCACCACCCACCGCCAACTCTTGGGCTACTCTTTTACCAACGAATAGTGGGATTGACCGTCACATTATAACGCCCCCACGGCTGAAAGGGCGAGCATGTTTGGTGGGATGCGGATTCGAACCCGCGACCCTCAGATTGTGAGTCGAGCGCCTTATCCACCTGGCCATGCCGGGCACAGAATGAGAGTTATTGGGTCTATTCAGTTACTCGATTGATTAGCTGAGGAACTTTAAAACTAAGTAACATTATTCTCAGAATTTCTGTTGAAAGACTGTTTGTGAGCTCAGGCTTACAACCTGTGTTAAAGTAAACACTGCCTGTAGCAAATATTGCTGAAGAAATAAATAAATTTATTATAATTACGGCATTAAACTTGCATTACTTTTACCAAATAATCCAAAATTATAGAAAATGTTACAAAAATATTGCTTTAGTATAGTTCTCTTCCTGGCGGATTCTTATAAATTATTTGGTAAAAATAAAGAAATTATAGTACAAATAATAATAATAATATCTTACTATATTTCCTCCTTTAGCATTTATATAAATTTGAACACTTGTACACTTCCACAAATTTGCTGTAGGCTTATGTTACAAATGACGTTAACTAATATAAAACAAATCAACTTACTTATATAATAGCCACAATTGCTAACACACAAACTGAAGCTTCACAGAATGTCGTATTTATAAGCTATGTTTCGTTATACTAGATACAACTTGAGATCACATCCTTCGAGCTTTCTAGACGTTCTGTGTCCTCTAGCTAAGAAATAACAAGATTGAAAATATAGTTTACAACACTGCCCCCTTCCTGGATTGTGAAGTACTTCCTGGGTAGGTGGTCAAATGAACTTATTGGAGGCTACAATCTTGATGATCCTCTGGTAGCATTCTCATCAGGAATCCCAGCCTATTCTGCTGGTTGAAGTTCAAGTGACAAGTTCTCTGGAGTTACCAACTTAGCCATTCTCTCACTTAAATACTTCCAATGATGATCATGGTGGATGACCTTTAGCTTAGAGAACCTTTCCTCTGAGCACCTACTTAACTTTGGAGTTTATCCTTTCTTGTTATGAGAAATATTCAACTATGCCTGCCAACCTGATGGGATTTAGTTTTATCAGCACTTACATCTATGTTACTTTTCAAGCTGATTTAAGTCTTTCCATGGAAAAGTCATGTATAGCATCTTTCGTCTTGGCACCCAGGAGAGCACTTCCAATCAATAATCCCTGATAACGTGCTGAAATATTTGGTTCCACTTTGCCCCAGTCACTAGATGAAAAATTATTGCTTTTAACTAATGATATAAGTATTTCACTTCTTGGTGGTACAATTACCATTGTCCCTGTTTCTACTGGATGTTCAACTTCTGGTGTATTAATTTCCATGTATTGCACAATAATTTCCTATCATAGACTATGAAGCTATTTGGAGTTAACTTGACTTCGCATCCATGAAGTCATTTCCCCAAATTCACTCTTCCTCGATGTCAATTATCCAAATATAATGAGGCACAGAGAACCTTCCTATAGTAAGGGTAGCTTTCAACTTTGCTTTTGCTGAAACATTTTGTTCACTTGCTGTTTGCACCAATCTTTCTTCTTCCTTTATCTCTCGAAGTAATTCCCCTATCTTTCAATGACAAATTGGAATGAGCAGGTGTAGCTGTTGAACCAATGTCAGTCAGCAAAATGCAATGTTTTCCATCAATAGGCCCGTGGACTTGTGAAAAATTTTCCTCAAATAATGAGCTTCTTTTCTCAATTGTGGTAGATGGAATATTTCCAGCTGAGCTTCGCCTCATAGATTCAACTAATTCGTATTTTCTTTATGTCTCATTTAGACTGCTTCATTTAGCTACATGGATCACAATGCCAACCAAAGTAGGGATTGAAAATCGTTTTAAAATCTATCCAACTAGTATCATTTTACTTGTTTGTGTACTTTTTATTGTAGCATACATTTTGTTTTGGGTACTTCTTATAGCAATTCTACAAATAACCAATGATCCCTACTTTATGGACACAACATCTATAAACTTTCATTATAGCCATATTCCTGATAGCTATAACTTTGACAAGAATTAAAACCACAATCACAACTTTATAAAATGTAATCCTTACTCTGGCCTACAGATAAGTGTATAAAGCTGTCAAAGTAGGGATTAAACTTTGTAAACTTGTGTTCGTAGCTTTAATCCTTGTTTCATTATTTTTTGTAGCAGAATCTCTAATTCATTTTAAAATTCATAATTTTTTGATACTCTTGTTTGCTTAATTTTTATGTTATACCTATATAAAGTATATACTTTACCTTTAGAAACTGTCGCGTGTCTATCCACCGATATTTAGCGCCATATGTTGGGTTGAATTGGGTTTAAAAGATATTAACTACGTGCATGATATGTTTACCATATATAAAAACTTCTGTATATATTTATAGGAATATCAAAAGCGGATACCCACAGACCAGTCAAGTAAGCTGGAGAAATCTTGTAGCGATAGTCTGAGCCGTCTAGGGGCTAGCCCCACTGACGTGGTCATGTAGATAGGTAATTAGTAGACGAAAATGTTGCTGTTTTAGAAATTTTTTAATTGTTATACCGGAAATATTAGCGACGTTTTTACCATATTATTAGTACATCTATGTATAATATATCATAACCAATACTTTTAACTGTTGGTTTTTCGATGGGGTGGATTTTAGGCGCATGAATTATTTGGAAACCTTGTCGATTCTTACTACTAAGTACTACCGTACTTAATAATACGTCTAACTTTAGCATAGTTGCCGTATAATCATTTTTTCACATCGAAAAAGTAGAATTAAAAAGTCCTATTATTACTCTGCCGATCTGCAAGGAAAATGAGAGATGTATAGTATTTTGTTGTTGTTTTCTTACCAGAGACGTTTCAGTATTTCGTAAGGATGAAAAATTTCGATTTACAGTCTATATTTCACATTTCTAAAATTGATGTAAAATAGTTCCTACTCATTTCTAGATCTACACATTTTACAGACTTTCATCCTTTTTTTTTACATGCTTCACACAATGCCCGGAGAATATTTTTATTAAAGGCTAAATGCACATTCTTAATTTACGAATAAAAGTGGAACACAATTATGTATGGAGTACGGTTCATGTGCTTCCACTACTTATTTATTTATTATTATTCAGCATAGAATTGATCTCGAAATATTTTTTTTCGAGTTATCATCTTCAAATTAAATGCTACCCAAACCTAAATTTTCTGCAATCACTGACAGAAAACGACACTCCTCAAATTACATTTTTCACTCGGTGTTTTTACAAAAACATTATTGTAGTTTTAATCAGTGTAATAATTTCTTACTTAAATTATAGAATTTAACCAAAACAATGACAGCCCATATAAATAAATGTAAAAACTCAAATGTATGCATATTTCTCTTCGGAAAACGTACTGAATCCGTGCAGTATGGGAATACATGCTAAGAATATCTCCACAATATAATAATTTATAGGAGTTTTTCTCTCTCATATGCATTGATATGTTATCATGAAAGGAATATCAGTGTTATCATACCAGTCTACTTCAGCTACTGTACAGAAATATGCATGTCTAACGGCGTGCTTTTTTTGTTTTTTAGTTTGTTGTTGTTTAGAAAATATGCTTAAAAAAACAAACACAAATGAAAAAAATTACTACCACCTCACAATTAAACAACATCCCTAGCTTAAAATAGAAGAAAAACTTTTAAAGGTTGTATTAAAGAAATGATGGTTACACAATAAAGGTATGGAAAATATTCACCCGTATATTGAACTCAGATCTACCTTCAACTTTCTGTCAAACCTACCAGACTTTCCGCAAACGCCAGAGAACATTTCTTGTAACAGCATGAATAAATTATATATTAAAAAAGCACTAAGTTATACATAAAATAAAACACAGTTACGTAGAAGTGAGAATTCAGATAGTTTTAAACACTTAGTTTTATTATCAAAACAAAGAAATTATGGTAATAAAATTGAGATTCTTAACAGGAACAACATATTGGTTCAATGGACAGACATTCAACGAATAATTTCAAATGATTGTAAATAAAAATTGCTTAATGAAACAGTATTAGGTAAACGATGACATGGTAGCTAAGTGGCCTAACACAAAACATTCCCATTCAGTTTCACATATCAAATATATGAAAATTATTCGACCCAACATATAATACTCTGCAACCACCTACAACATAAACGTTGTAGTCTTCTACAGTATATCTTTCTCTCTTTGCGTGTGTATATTTTTCAAATATGTTATTATATAGCTATTATTTAAACCATGATGGAGCTTTTGTCTTTACATCTTACAAGACGAGTATAACCGTATTTTGTTTTGTTTTTATTAACCTAATAATATTTAGTCCATAACAATTACTTGTACTCCATCTTTAGTTTCAAAAATACAGATCGTTCACTGCTCCTTTCTGCTCCCACTTAGCTCATTATTTCACGCTTCTGGATTTCTGGCTTGGTAGATTAATAAGTTCCAGTGACCCTAAATATTACTGTATTATTAAACTATCACTTTAATTGGTAACAACTAACATATAAGAAATATCTATTTTAAGCTATATTAACCACACTGATTTTTCGGTCTTGTCTGGCTTTATTGCTGCTTGGTTATTTAACTGTGACCCCGAAAACAACAAATAGGAGCTTTATCCAAGATAGCTTAATCCTCTGAATATTTCCTGAATAATAGTAATACTTTAATAAAGCCCAAAATAATTTTACACTTTAAACATTTATAAAGTATTTTCTTTCATTATATTACTGAATTATGCTTCCTAAGCGTTTTTAACTCCTGTCAGCTCTTTAACCGAATTCCAAAACGTTTTATACCATTCAACAACAATTTACCTCACTTTCAAAGCATTAATAATTTTAATTACACACTTATTCACTTTTACAGCAACTTAAGACTCTTAATCCACTTCAAGAGAGTTTGAAACCTTGTTACAATACTTCACTTTCGAAGAGTTTAGACCTTTTGACTATAAGTTAAACCATCTGTAAATAGTTTACATTTTTTTCTTACACTCTTCTTTCAGCACGTTTTAAATATTCTACTGAATTTAACTCTTGTTTTAGTAGAGTTTCAACACTTATGTTTTATAATTTTTCTTTCGGCATTTTTTGAAGTCGTATACTTTCTTACAAACAGTTTAATTCGAGCATCTCAGCTTGTCATACCACTATATAAAATCCATTCAAAACCAAGGTGTCTTGCTCTAAGAAAATAGTGATACTTTGTAAATCAAATGTGCTGTTTGTTGTTGCTTTTCCAAAAAAAAAAGAAAATGAAGAAAAAAGTTTATAAAAGAACAGAACTGTAGCAGCAAAATTAAACGGAAGGAAATATCTGATAGTTGGAAACAAAAAACGTAGTAGAAAAAAAAAAGGAAGAGAGAAGCTTACCAGAGCCGTGTACTTGGACATTACAGAACACTGGGGCCGTACTTGAAGACCAAGACTGTTCAGTCACGCACCAGGCATGCAATGAAAGATAAGCATAAACTTGTAAGTTCCTTTTGAGAACAAAATAATTGCTTGCTATAAAATTGTGTTTCCCTTCCTTTTAGTAGTAAGTACAGGTTTTCAAAACATCTCAAACTTCTTGAAGTCACTTTGAAGTATCTAAGACAGGTTTTACCTTTACTTCTCGAATGTATTAAGTATTGCCACGTTCTCAAAATAAAGCACAGTACTTCAGCACGTAGAATATACTTAATATGATCTCAGAAGTGTTTTTATTTTTTATTTCTTTCATTTTTTAATCTGGTTTCACAAAATGTTCATTCAAGGTCTAGAAAAATTTGGAATGGTCTTAAAAATAGCATATTAATGATTATGAAACTTTAGATGGTAAACATTAGTAGAGTTAGAGTTAGATGGGTGAGGCAATGGTAAACATTATAATGATAAAGTTCAAAGTTGGATCGTTTATAATAAAAATGTAGAGCAAGATCTTCCATAAGAATATATAAAGGGAAAAACGAAAAATTTGAAAATAACACTTAAGTCAACGCCCTTACAAGACAAAATACAGGAAGATAATTATAATAGATAATATAATGAATATAGTTTATTAAACGAAATTTCATACTTATAAATTAAAAATACACACCCCCTATCAATATGTTTATATCATACGCAGGACCAGGAATTATTATATTTGCGTGGATCTAGAACAGTTAAGTGTACATATTTAACGCAGTAAACATTATTAGGTAAATAACTGCTGAAAATACCCCACACTAGAAAAATATCGTGAGATAATAAAAAATAAAAAAAACAATGGCTGAAAGACAAATAAATTATTAGTAGTCATATTTCCTATATAGTTTTTGCCAGCTCGAATTAAGCTTTTATTAGAATCCTTTTGCTCAAAAAAACTGTTATTAATTAAAGGTAAAAAGTGTCCCGTATGTTTCATGAAATTTAAGATAACTCTTTGTAAGAATAAAACAATAACTCTTCAACTGCTCTAATACACACACACACACACATATATATATATATATATATATATATATATAGTTGATTGTAATATTGCTTCCGGAAAGTTCTCTAGCCATATCTATATTTTCTATCATTATTCTATTTGTTTTATCATAACCTTATTAATGGTTTTAGGTAAACCATCTAATAAAATTACATTTCTTACTCCAGAATTAACTGAGAAAGTAATTTCCAAAATCGTAACTAACAAAAACCTGTTTCTCTTTGTTTATTTGTTGGATTTAGCGCAAAACTACACGAAGGCCATGCGCTCTAGCCGTCCCTAATTTTGAAGTGATAGACTAGGCCTAGGGGAACGCAGCTAGTCAACAGTATCCACCACTAACTCTTTGGACACTTCAATAGCATAGTTGAGTTTATCGATGTATTATAATAATACTCAGTTTTTGCCTATACTGAAAATGCGTGCTCAACTTACTATCTAAATGCGCATGCCCGCGCATTTCATTTCAATGGATGTAACTAGTAGACATTTTGTAAAACAACATATTTAAAGTTTAAAGTGGACTTATAGATTTCGGTGTTTGCAGCGATTAGAATTCTTTTGTAATAAAGATACTAATTTGACTTATTTGGCACGCTCTAACCACTAGGCCGTGCTCTGCCCACCTGCTTCCCTCAAAACATTTGACACTTTTCTGCCTACCTTAAACATTTATCCTTTTTTTAAATAAATTTTAACTTTTATATTTATGTTTTTGTTTTAACGTTATTCATTTCTTTACAGACCTAATTTCTTCGCCGAAAATACCCGCGCACTATATATTTTGGCCTCATTTTTACCCGCGTTTAGTGCGCAATAGATTTTTTTCCTTCACGTATTAGAAAAAAATTCTATATGCCCATGTATAGTGCGCAGAGCAATTCTAACAGCTGAAAAGCCTTTGTGTAGCGAGTGGTGTATTGTTGTGGTGATTACTATTACCATTACTAACTAACTAATGGTATTACATAATGTACAAACAAAGGTTGAACTGATGATCACCTTTAATATGTGTGTATATGTGTTTTAAAACAATGACCTCTAAATAAAGCATAGAAGAGTGATTATGATTGAATGTTACTGTTAATGTATTGTAGTGATAGCCATTGGTCAGTTCCTTTAATTACATTAATTAGGACGCTTTTCGATGTCACACTAGGCCCGCCCGAAGTTGAAGGAACATTCGGACTGAAAACGTCGCCTGAAAAATACTGAAAGAATATTGTTCCCTCGTATTGTGCGCACTTCATATTTGAGCCCAAATATTTTGGAAAATTGCGCAGTATATGCGAGTTTTTACGATATTTTCGAAATAAATATGTCTCCTAATGCAAGAGTGTTTTATTTAATCATTTTATACTCGTATTAGCTTTTAATATCTTAGACCTCAAATGTCGCGTATGTTCTTCAATACCAATAATGTATTCTCTGTTGATATATTTGTTTTATAATTAACATTAAATCTATAAGTAAGGGTGCCTACTCTTGTCAATCCCAAAAACTCTAAAAATAGCTGTTTTACTATGAAAACGAAAATTTTTCACATTTTATAATTTTGGTAGAGAACACCTTAAGCTAAGGCGTTTAGTTCCAATGACAAATGCATTTAATATAGTCATTTTATCAAATCATTTGCGTGATCGTAAGCCAAGTCCACAAGTACAAGCAAAAAGATCTTACATTAGTTATTAATTATTGATTTGTCTTAAATTCACAGAATCATAGTTTTATTACTATCCTTAGTTGATATTGAAACATATTGAGAAGTGCATGGAATCCGCTTGTTTTTAATTGTTAACGATACATAAAAAGTATCTTACAAACTGCAAAGACATGCCCAGGTCCATGCGTACGCTGAAGTGTTTAGAACTGTTAACCAGAGGAAGGACAACAAGTCACCATCACCATTCGCCTAATTGGCTACTTTTAATCGAATAATGGGATTGACTGTCATTTTTATAACGCTATATATATATAGCGTGTTCAGCTACATATATCGAAATCGAGCCTTGAACCTCTCGATCTCCAGTGCTACAAGCTAGTTACTAGGACACGCTCCACCCTACACGGTCAGTGTCTGCAACTACAGGGAGTATTGTATTTACCCTTAGTTTTCATCGACTATTTTAATTGTTCGTTTGTTTGTAATTAAGCACAAAGCTACACAATGAGCTGTCTGTTCTCTGCCCACCACGGGTATCGAAACCCAGATTCTAGCATTGTAAGTCCGCAGGCATACCGCTGTGCTACTGTGAGGCAACTAAAGACTTAAGAAAGTCAGTTTGTTTGTTTGTAGTTAAACACAAAGCTACACAATGAGCTGTCTGTTCTCTGCTCACCGCGGGTATCGAAACCCGGATTGTAGCGTTGTAAGTCCGCAGACATACCGCTGAGCCATTGGGCGGCCGATTATTTTGAGAAAAAAAATGTTTAAGTCGTGGCTTACGTTTTTTAGAGAAAGCTATTTTTTTATTTAATATAAACAGGGTTTTCACAGAAATACTGTCTCACGTGCCGTATTTTGTTTTTATTTCATGTACAAAAAAGTTTTAAAAAAGTATTGCTTAAATACGTACAATTACCGTTAAAGTTTTTTGTTTTGTTTTGTTTTTTGCAAAAGAAACAGAAAGAAACAAGCAGGGATGAAATTCTGCCGGTTCTCACTGGTACTGAGTACCGGAACTTATTTTTCAAGGCGGTACTAGTACCGGGACTTATTTGAGCTGCTTTGTCGTTTTTTATGTTTATATATAGACTTTTTTTTTCTTTCTCAAAAACAGGTCCACTTCGTCCAGCTGAGTACCTCTACTTTATTTTTGAGAATTTCACCCATGGAAACAAATATATCATTATGACATTCTTAGATATATCATTCAGCGATTTAAGTATTGTTTGTTTGTTTTGAATTTCGCGCAAAGCTACACGAGGGCTATCTGCGCTAGCCATCCCTGATTTAGCAGTGTAAGACTAGAGGAAAGGCAGCTAATCATCACCACCCACTGCCAACTCTTGGGCTACTCTTTTACCAACAAATAGTGGGATTGACCGTCACGTTATAACGCCCCACGGCTGAAAGGGCGAGCATGTTTGGTGTGACGGGGATTCGAACCAGCGACCCTCAGATTGCGAGTCGAGCGCCCTAACCACCTGGCCATGCCGGGCCCGATTTAAGTATTAGCAAACAAATATCAAAATAATTCGAATATACAATCAAAAGTGCATTCTTCATATTATTAAAAATAATTAACTAATAGTTAAAAAATTACATTGGGTAACTCTGAACAATTAATTTAGTATGAAACCCATTGGAAAAAACCCTGAATGATTGGCGCAATTAACTAAATATTAGAAGTACGATTGTGAAAATATTTACTAAGTATTTAATTTCGATAAATTAGTTAACCAATTTAAATTAAAAATTAATTAGTTGCTATAATTGATACCTACAACTGAACTTAGAGTAATTAAAATGGTCCATATCGTCACACTACACTATTACCAAAATATGCAGAATTTGCTAATCAATCATGAGTAATGGTAATGAATGTATACAGATTTGTGAAACTGTTGCACTACATTTCACGAAGAAGGAAATGAAGTGTTAGGTATTCTGTTTTGTTTTTTCGCATAAAACAACAGCTTAACAAACAAAAGTTTTAAAATTATATTTTAAAGAAAATGATAACGTAATTCGGTGAAAGGGTAATTTTGGGAGTTTAGAATACTTTTATAGAAAATTAAGTTTGATTATTAAATGGAAAAATTGGACGTTTAAAAACAATAGTTCGAACACTGATAGATTTGAGCATGCTGTAAACAAGTCACGAACTTATCTTGCGTACAACTCAATATCAATCTTTATGTAATACACTGACGAAACAAAGAGTTATCGGGACTTGTAATATTATAGCTATAACAAGGCAAAAATCACTGTTATAAAATAATGTATCATCATTTCAGTTCAGTAT